AGTAATTGAACTAAGACAGTAATTGTATTAGGACATTAGTTTTTTACTGGAATTTTTTATTAGAATTTTACGGAAGAACAGATATAATGTTATACAAATAACAAATAGTTTTATTCAGGTCACTCGAATGTCTCTCTAATGTCTAGAAATTTTGATTTAAATCCGGTTTTGTTAGCAGACCCGAGAATTTATTTTTAGTCATCTCTGACTAAGAATATATATTTTGACAGCTAAAAAAATATTTTTACTTTTTGGTGCATTTAACTAAAATCATCTCATTTAAAAATATTTTGTATACTTATGTAATTTACAATCTTCAGTATAATTATGCATAAAATTCCCACAGAGCATTAAGTATAACTTTTGAAATAGGATATTAATTTTCAAAATAATAGAAGATTATAAACTTAGATAAAACAATAAGTTTCTCATCAACTAATACGTGAATAAGTTAGAATGAGAAATTTTTCTGAGTACAACTTTCAACGGCAGTAGTAAAAACTAGATAAAAACTTGAAAGTTTGGGTTGATAAAACTGGATTTAATGCAACGCTGAATAGAAGGAAACCTTCCTGGGTAATTTAGATTATAAAACTAAACATAATGTTTTAAAAAATTTCGAATTCAACGATTTAAGTTAAATACAACAAAATGTTTAAAAAAGTAACTGTCATAATATTTTTGGTGACGTGTATAAAACTGTTATAAAACTGGATTTATCAAACCGCCCATCCGCCCATCTTCGTATTAAGCCAAATACTACTACAAGAATCTCTTATCTTTGCAGAAATGGAAAATATATTTAAAACTGTGGTCTGAAATTCAAACTGCATGCTGATCGAATGTCTGATATGCGGCGAAATTTAAAATTTTATCTTGCGAATGTTTTTAGTGTGCGGCAAGAATAATTCACTTGGCGGACTTCTTAATTTACGGCAACCTATTTTCCTTTCCCTGTTTGCATTGCTGAATTGAGCGGAAAAAAGTTATTTCTTTCCTACTTCAAAATAATTTTAACAAAGTGATAAAACACATTTGATGTTACTATCGCTTTCAACTAGTATGCAAAATTTCAAAACGCGCCAGTATATAAATTCCCGTACATCTTTTGAAATTTTGAATAAAAAACTGTAGTGTTTTGCAGGTATACTTAGAAATACATCTACTTTAAAATAATTAGAAAAATTTATAAAAAGCATTTAAAAATACAAATTAAAAAAAAATAAATCATGAAAAGTGTATGAATTATATTTGGAATCCTAAATTTTGAATTCTTGAAGAAGGAATCAAGTAAGTTTAATAAAAAAAAGGGGATATTAGTAAATATACGTATATCAAATTCAATTAACATTGAGGAGCTAACATTTTGAGAGCTAATTTTTTAAAAACTACTCGTGCGATTTTTACAAAGCCTGGCAGTGTGGCATAATTTGAGTCGTAGAATTGAAATATGGAATAAAATCGGCATATCATTTCAGAAAATATCCGATTTTTGTGTCAAAATACCTATATTAGAACAATGCTATATATAAATCTAATACATATCCTTTACGTCGCGCTTTTGAGATATGAAAAACGCAGTTTGAATTTCGGCAATCGACCCAGTAGAACGAGGTCCCTTTTTTTTTTGTCTTTGCGCAATATACCTAGAAGACACTTTTGTTGGTTACCTTTTGCTATTCAAACAGCTAAACATTAAATTTTCAGACTGACAGAATTTAAAATAATTCTTGTATGTTTAATTAATTATTAAATAAATTACTTTACACTGAAAATAAATAAATCATGAAAACTTTCTAAACCTTCTGAGAAAATTTCCAAGTGGAATAAAATTTCAAGATAAATAATAAAAACATAGTCTGTTTCTCTTATTTATATAATTTTTCTTCAACACATAAAGAAAGATGCATGTGCTTGCATGTATATAATATAAACTTCTTTATTTCTATCTGTAACTTGACATTTGATTGCATTTAGATCCTTATGACGTTAGTAACCATGGAGAGAAGTTACTAGAAACTATCTTCTTTATCATGGAATGTAGACACTTATCGGTCAATGCGATTCTTTTCTCATTAATTTTCAACAGTTGCTCATATGTAAATGTATTCCCAAACAAAGCGATTATAAGTGTAAATATTTCTAACTAGCTTATTTATTTTTTGACAAGTTAACCAGATCTCCTTTGAATAAGATTTATATCACACTGTAAGTTAATTTACTTCGTTTTACAGATTTTCCGGTGCGTTATTCACGTTCGTTTTTAAATGAAAATAAAATACACTCGGACTTCAAATACTAAAATTTTGAAATCTCAGTAATACCGTATTTACAATAAGTATGTAACTGAAATGTATTCGCATACCGCAAAAAATTGTTTCGGGGGCCGTACGCGAGTCTCCAGTTAGAAAGCCCTCTCTTAGAGTGCTCATTAATGAGACTATTTTTCTGTCATTAAAATATTACTCAGTTACCCAAATTTTGTTTTGAATGCTCTAGCACAGAGAACTTATTACTCGAGAACTAACTTTTTACATGGAGCTAATCAACGGATCTAGAAATTGTGCAAATTTTAAGAAGTATTACGAAAAACGGTTTTGTTATTCATTTACGTTCATATAAAATCAGAATTTTTTTTAAATATAAATATTCCAGAACTAAATATATGTAACACCAAAACTGCGGTTATCTTAATTTACTTGCCTACATCAGAGATTTATGCAAATTGCAAGGCAAGCCGCGAAGCTTTTAAGGGATTTAAATCTTAAGAGAACTCAATGGATCCACTGTCTTGCCGCTTACCGAAAGGAACCCGCATGCAGAGCAGAAATTTAGAAACAGCCGAAGGTTAGCCGGAAATTGGTGAATAATCGAATGTTAGCTGGTCGTGTGCTATTCATTGTCTATTTTTTATGTTTCTTGGCATCAAATCGATTCCAGACTGACGTGCAAGTAGCACCTTGGTAAAATGAGGTGGGCAATAATTAGTTACCAGCTAGATTTGGCAACTGCGTCCTCGCATTCGTGGTCGCCTTTTAAATGGAAGAGAAAGCAAGGGAGTTTACTTCTTATTTGTGCCTGCCTTCGCGATGTAATTCGAAGTACATCCGGATAGCAACAAGGATATCCGGAATACCAACCCCGGTGAGGGCACTGCACATTTTTCCCGTTTCCTGTCCCCAAGTAAACCTAATCCACTCTGCAAACAAAGGTTTCAGATTTATTCCAGACTGTTTGGAACGTTTTAAAATATATGTCCGATGCATACCTTTTAAAGAAAGTCAAGTAACTAAATAGGATTTGTTTGTTTTTAATTATGTCATAACTGTAGTTTAGTAGAGAATCGCTGTAACTGATATCAATGAGAAGCAGCAACATTTATTTTGTTGCTACTTAGTTGTGTTATAATAAGTAGTGGCTCGTAAAATTCCCTGTTAAAATTTGACATTGAGTTTCGTTTTACGCATTTATACCTAAGCAGAGGTGATGAATCGCAAAATATTCAGCGGTGTTAGATTTAATAATAGACAATTTTCAGTTAGTTAAACGTCTTATCAGTGACAATATGCACAATATATTTATAATCTATATATAAGTTACAACAGGTGCAAATTTATGTCAATTATTTTCCTCGAATTCCTTCAAAAACTATACTTCTCGTGCTGGTTATCCGATTAAACATAATTTATTCTAAACTTTCGCCAGTTTAGTCTTCGCCAGTTAGTATACTATGGAAGACATAATGTCTTTGCACTTTTACCTGAAGTCTAGAATATTAATGAATAGAAATAACAACAAACTCAGAATAATTTTTTTTTACTAAGAACTATAGTTACAACTAAAATGTTAACAAATAAATCACCGTCCGTTTTTCATGAGACTTAGAATACAAATAGTATAAATATGTACAAGACAGATAAAAGATTTAATACCTATGGACCCGGCTCTTATATTCATGCACGATGTCTAAAATCAGTATCGAATACCACACTATCAAAAGGCACATTTGGTGCATTTCCAAACTCTTTCTCCCAGTTTACATCTTTGCTAGCTATCTAAATTTCTTAAGATGAGGATCATAGAAACCATACAGATGCAGGACTGGATTAACATCAAAATAAATCTAACATTGTATGAGATGGTAAATATTAGTCTACACTTTTTTCTCACTAGCCAGTATACAAAATTAAAACTGAAAACTTCATTTAAATATTCGAAATAAATCACTTGCTACATTTTTTTTTTTCGTTAGAAACATCAGCGATTTGATCAGAGAAAATAATGTCTTCTTTCGCAAAACTGAAGAAAACGTCGGCCATTACTTCCTGTGATGCACATCATTATCATTTTTTGTATACACTTGTGCATAACTGATAAAAGTAAATTTCATTTGGTTTAGTTTATTTAATTATGGAAAAGCACACTAGGGCTATCTGCCTAAGGGAAGGGATGCCATCGTGCAGGTCTTTCTAAGGGAAACTGGCTCGTATACACGTTACACATGGGTAAAACCGCGAAAACGCCCATGCAACTAGCCCGTTCGAAGGATTCGAACCTCAGACCGAACTACCAGTGTTCAGCGAGTTTACCGCTCGACCGCTGGTGGGCTAACAAATAAAGGAATTTAAAATATTGGAGAAAAAGTAACATACGATTGCAAAAGCATTTGACTGTTAATTGTTACTGAAAGTATGTGGAAAGCGCGTTTTGTTGTTTTTTGCTTCTTCTGTTTTATATTTTATTCTTAAACTTAGTTTTCATTTCTGTCTTATAAAAGTAACAATGTAGTAGTTAACTAGACTTCATGCGTTAAATCACAAGGGTATGTGATTTAGGAAATAACCATTCACGATACATTCTACGAGTTTCTTTGAACTTCATTCAATTTTTCATATTGAAATTATATTTCTGGCATTTGGCGAAAAAGAAAGAATTTTAATAATTTTACCTATAGAAATTATATACTTCTTTTTACCGTTCTTTCAAAAGTCATATCCTACCTTTGGTATTAGTTCCTTGGCTGTAAAGAGAGGGCTGTCTGTGAATGTGGAATGAGGTCTGTTGTTTTTGGGACCACATGGAACCAGAGACGGTACGGTGTCCTGTTCGGGGCACATGGCATGCGCGCTGAGGGTGTAGCTGCTGGAGGGTCTTCTTGGACTTCTAGATAGGGGTGAGCCTCCTACGCTAGGGAAACCTCTCGCGTCTGATTTTTCACCCCACTGGCTTCGGTCTGGACTGCTGCTACTGGAAAAGAAGAGTACACACAAATTGAAAAGCTATTCCAAAGAACAATTATAATACGCAGATCGACGTTCAGATATAAATAGAAATTTTCATGCTTTCTTAATTAACTCAATGTAATCAGGACTCTTTGAGGAAACATAATTGAGTTATCAGCAGAAATGCTAATTTCTTTTTCGATCACCCTTGTTATTTATGATCAACATATCGGAGCAGGAGCTGACAACAGTGTTGTGCAGCTAATGACCATTAAATTTTCGATTAGTTTGTAAGGGATTTTTCTCCCGCCTTATCGCGTGCCTTCGTTGTGTAACTCGAAGCAGGCCTGGTTACTAATCGGGAAGTTCGGAGTTTGAATTTTAGCGAGTGCTTATTTTTCATATTTTCGGATTTCAAAAATAGTCTATCTTCTTATACAAGTAGAGCCTGAACTAAAACGCGGTTCACGAGAATTTGTCACCACCTGGATTTGGCAAATGCGTTCCTCAGCTTTTCGGTCGCCTTCATTTTCTTCTTGCTTGCCCAACTGAAAGTACATCCAGCTAACAATAAAAAGATCCGGAATCCACAACCCGGTGACACATTGCTTATTTTTGACATTTTATGTTCCGAAACAAACCTAATCCACACTATAAACAAATGTTTCAGATTTATTCGAGACGAAACATTAGTTTGAAACTGATTGTCTGTCTCATTCTAGAGTTTATGATTAATGCATATCTTTTAAAGAAGGCGATTTGAGAAGTGAAAATGAATCACATGCTTGGGAACCACAATCCATGAAGTTAAGTTGACTGCTCTTAATACACTAGTTCTAATCCATCAGAGAATCCCTGTCAAGGTTTAGTATTATGGAAACACCCGCTAAAGATGATATTAAATTTAAAAATATGAAGAAAGCCTTTCATGCCTAAACACATGCAGCGTAAACATGCATAAAACATGTCCTATATTAACCTTGTAATGTGTGCACTGTTTCAATCCAGAATGAAAATAAACGAGCATACAATGGCAAAGGAATTAATGTAATGAGAAGAGAATTGACATTTCGCACGAATGTGTCAACACGCAGTCAAAAGACATATTCTTCTTGAATTAAGAAACTTCTTGGGTGCCGAAACAAGTGCAACTCAGTGGCAAATGATTGTAGAGTACATCAGTATTTAAATTAGTTTATTGCTTAGGCAATAAATTCCAGTTTATATTTTAGTGGAACATTACTGATTAGTTTATCGTTTGGGCAATAAATTCCAGTTTATATTTTACACGATCCGTCATATTTTAGTGGCAGTGTAAAATAATTAATGTGTAAATGGCAGGAGAAGTTGGAGTCTTAGCTCCAAAATCTACTTTTGCATGATAAAGCCACTCCGACATGAGCAAAATGCTAACTATGATAACCTTTGAAAACACCTAGCCATCTAAATCATTTAATATATTAAAGTTGTAACATGCTTCCCCTTCTTATATCATGAAAACTGCCAATTAGTGTTGATATAAAGGATGAAGTGGACTTCCCTTTATGCTTTGATTTTTGATGTAAAAAATTTAGATTTATTCTACCCGAAATGTAACACGAATTTTAAACTTACATTACCTAAAAATGAGTAATAATCTTACAAAAAACTGCTGCTTACATGTAATTAGCCTTGAATGTAATCAGCATTAATGTAATTAGCTTAAATGTAATCAGCATTAAATGTTCTCAAATTATATTTGAAATGTGACTGTGTAGTTTTTATAATTATGTATATGTAAAATATAATTATGTATTTCTAAAAATATGTAGTTGCAATGATTCGAGTTACATATGGTAGCCAACAGTACATTCTAAAAGTTCATTATAAAGTGCCTAAAGTAAAGCAAAAAATTATATTGACCTGAATAAGAATCATAATTTTTTATTTACAATTAGATTTGTAATGATATTTATACAGTACTCGAATAAGATTTCAGTACCTACTAAAAGTGTAATTTATCCTGCTGTTATATCGCAATCGCATATTCTTAAAGTATTTTATTTCGTAAACTCGAAGGAAGAACTTCGAAAACTCGAAGGAAGAGTAGTTTAAAAAAAATTATAGTAAACACGTACGTCATTTTATAAAAAACACAATCAGCATCTTCTATCTCAAATTAAATGTTAAATAATTGTCTCTAGAGACAAGAAAAGAAGAAATTATGAAGTATTTATTTGCAGTGATAACCATCGAAAAAGTTTAACGTGACATCTAATGGATATTTATACTGAAACTCCCTTGCATTCCATCTTCTATACATAAATACATTTTCAGAAGCATTTAATTTACTTAAATAGTTTTTAGATGGCATTCTGTTATGAATGCATGTGCGCATCATTGAACCTTTAATTATTAGGTACCATGACACCATAAATTATTGACATTATATATCCGTAAAAACTTCTATAAGCATTTTTCTGCATATATTTATATATATATATTGAATTTTAACATGAGTATACATACTATGCATTAAATATTTATTTAAATTTTAGAGATTATTTTTACTAGTATTTTAATTAGTCATTTAATTTTCACCAATTTTGCATAGTATCTTGTGATTTCTAGGTTTCTATTTAGTTTGGATTTTCTGCTTGCTTAGATCAAACCTTGAAGTTAATTTTCACTTACATCTATTTGATTAGGTTTAAAGTTTTCACATACATATACTTCAAAATTAGATATCAATTATTTTTTTATTTTGTACTAAAATTTCTCATCTATCCTTGTTTCTTTCCCTTAGTCAAACTATTATTATCTGTTATTACATATCCTTGAGTCTATTATTAAAACTTATTAAAACTATTATTAAATTACTATTATTACTATTATTAAAACTATTACTAAATCCTAAATAATAATTATTATATATCCTTGAATCAAACTATACATCGAAAGTTCTTTAATATAACACCACCGAATAGATCAAAAATAATATTCCAAATAAAATTTTCTGCAGTTTCTACCATGATTTTATTTTAGATACATTTTAACCTTAGTTAATAATGACGGATTCATAAAGTAAAAAAATGCAGTTCTTCATCTCTAATAGCCCACGATTTAAAATGATGATGAAGTAGAATTTCTAAATCATATAGAAATGTAAATGAATTTAATATAAATTAATGCCTACAGATAGATCGAAAGACATTGAAAAAAATCTGATGTGTACACCACATGACTTCCTTGTACGGAATATTAAATTATACGCATTTTTCTTGCATTTCATTTAAACTTATTGGATTGAATTAAATCTACTTCGCCGACAGCGCATAAACCACAATAGAATAAATGCATTGTTTAAAATTCACTCAGTATTTGTTTACCATAGCGACATTCTGGCGCTAGGTTCACTTAACAGTATTATATTTCGTTCATATTATAACTCATAACGCACAAAATTTATATCATTTAAAGAATAGAATTATTTAATCGTTGCACATGTTCTATTCAAATACTATAATAAAGCTAGAATGATATATAAAAGAAATTAAGCAAACAAAACAAAAATGAAACAGTTTTCACAGACGATTGAGTATTTCTCATTCAATTAATTCAGTTCTCACTTCGCGAGAAGGCAAAAATACATAAAAACTCAAAATATCTATATTAAAAATTACGAAGTAAATTTTAATATAGATATTTATAAATTTTATTATAGATATTCGAGAAAGGATTAAGCATGATTTAATTGCCAATAATAAATGAAGGCGTTATCTTTGTTGTTGCGAAGCTAAGTTACTCTAGATTGGCAACAAATCCACTAGTCTGCTGTTTCAAATGTAAACAATCAATGGCCGCCGTCAAAACAAAAAGGCTTAGCGGCACTTAAACAACTTTAAAATTGTTGATAATTCTAAAAATATTGCACACAGATTTACTAAAGGCATAAAAACCTTAACCGGAAGATAAAAACAACATAATACAATCATTTTTAAAGCAAAAAATGTACAATTTACAAACATATAAGAGTAAAGAAACTGAGATCATTGAGCCGGGTAACAGAGTGGATATATACATAAATATATTTATATACGTTTGGTGCGGCCGATTGCAACCAAAATACGTGGTGCACATCTACATGTTATAACAGTTCTATATACAAAATTTCAACGTTCTGAGGCTACTCGCTTTTGAGTTATGCGAGATACGTACGTTCGTACGTACGTACATACGTTCGTACAGACGCCACGAAAAATTCTCTTCAGAATTAATTTTGAAGCAGTTTTATAATTTTTTGGAAGAAACGAGTCTTTTATTCTCACCTTACGTACAGATATCACGCAAAAACATCGTTAAATTGCCTTCGATAGCGGTCAAAATGGATATTTTCGTTGAAATATGCTGCCTGAAACTTTTCGCGATTACAATACTTCCTTTTTACTTCGTACAAGGAAGTAAAAATAGCGTCATGGGTACTTCATTGCTATGGTGACGAGAAGGAAACTTTTTCCACATCCTCAATTGCAATAATTGCTTTGTCTATTTCTTTACCGCTCTAAAGAAAAAAACTAAATTTATAAGAACAGTGTAAGTTTGTAAAGTGTAAAATATATATTTTAAATATCACAATACTTTTGCTTATATGGGACTAAACACAACACAAACTCAAGGACGCTCATGCTGATGTTGTATCAAAATTTCAAGCAACTATATAAGGTGTAACACAGAAATTAATTATGTATGAAAATAATTACATTTAAATTCACTTACACTTCATTTCCATAATTTTAACTTAAAATACGCTGTTGTTAGCAGCACTACGCTTCAGTCACATGCAAAATAAAGTATAATGTTAGTTGAAATATTAATTTTTATGTTTAGTGTCACTAAACAAGTTAACGTAAAACCCTTTCATATATTTGACTTTACTGTAAATTTGCGATTACATCCCTTGCATTTTACATTATTTATATTTCATGCATAGTAAAAATTACTTTTACTGCATTTTTGATGCGGGAATTACATATCTATATATATGGC